CTTGTTAGGTCCGGTGAGTTTGAAAATCACTATGTTTATTCCTTCTCTTAAATTCTCCACTATTAATAATATCTTATCTTGGCGTTTTTGTAAAGAGTTTCTTTTAAAGCTTCTTGTTTAAAAAGTCCTCCACTGATTAAAGTTTCATGCACATTTTTCGCGACCTGTTTTGAATCAAGCGACAAATGATTTCGGCGCGACATTGTCATATTCTCGTAAAATATATTTTTCAAAATGCACAGTAAAAACGATTGTTCAACACTGCCACAAATGGTCACCAGTCAAGAAATACATCAGAAAGGAAGAAATATACCGGGCCTACCCCTACCTTATCATTTAAGTAAAAATATTTTTTTTGTTAATGGCTTTACCCAAAGACAGTAGGTAATAACATCGTTACAGTTTTTTTGGGGAGGGTCCGTCGAAAACCAACACGATAAAGATTGCCACAGACTATACCAATATGTCAGTAAAACTATTTTGACATTTTCTCAACGCCATAATGAGAATTTAATAAAAACCGTTTTTTGTGCTTTAAACAATCGTTCTGTTCCTAGTAAAATATGCTATTTGATACATGGCGTAGTTTTTTCAAGGACCATATGAAAAAGTAAAAGTGACCTTTATTTCTTGGTATCTCTTTAAATAACATCAGCGTATATTCGGAATTTAACCATCTTCGTATCTCTTATGGCGTCTAATATCCTCATGTTAGACGTCCTTATCCCGGACGGACTGTGTAACCGCAAAACCTTTCCTTATAAAATTAAATTATTTATTCAATTAATCTAATGATGTATTAAATAAATTAATTCAACGAATGTCAATATCATGTTTTGATAACAGAATCATAATAAGTTAAAAAATTATGATGAGCGTGTGTATCTTATGTCCTCAATAATGCCTAAGTTTTTTCGTAAGGGGTAACTTTTATAACGGTATGGTTAATTGCTTGACCATACTCCGTTGCGGGACATGCCCGCTAAAAATGCTCAAAATTCTACGTTTTTTTATTAAACGGCACCAGGTGCCAATTATTTTTTTCCAAATCAGGTACAATTAAATTATTTGACGTTTTTCTAAAAAATATAATAGACGAATGTGTCATCTTGTGCGCTAATCATATATGGTAACGAACAACAAAAACATAAAAAAACAAAAAAGTATCTATAATTAAATATATTCGAACAACTATTAAAAGTATGCCATTGAAAACCATAGGTGTCTCATTAAAAATCTTATTTTAATACGCCACTCAGATATTTTTGTATCATTTTCTTGTAAATTCATCATCATAAATGTCCATTTTTTCTAAGTGTCCATTTCCAGGAAAATTTCTATAGTTCTCTATTTTTTTAAGACGTCGAGGGAACAGCATTTTTTTTGTCAAATAAAATCTGATAAAAATTTATTGTCATAGTCTCGACATCGAGTCGACTGGAAAGCTTAAAATAATGAGGTATTTACGAAGTGTTTAAGTAACATGCCTGTAAAAGGATATATCGGTTCCCTTCTATTTTGACACCGGTATGCCGGGCAATAAGATTTACCAATGTAATTACAAATTTAAAAACAATACTAAAGCACAAGAGACGAGATCACTCATTTCCTACCTGTAAAACTAATAATACAAAAAATTAAGACATTCAGAATTTCAATTAAAGAACACCAAAAAATAACCACAAAACGTCCTAGTTTACATACAAGGCAATGTAATTAAAAGAAAATTTTCAGCATAATCAGCCGATTCTAACTAACTTTCTCGTATTTCCGCCATATCTCTCTCTACACTTATCCATCGGTTAATTAGATATATGGATACTAAAGACAACTCTTCAGACATGTATTAAGAACTCCGTATCACTGATGACTAGCATCATACGAAAGTAGCAAATGCAAATTAACGTTGTTAATTTTATTAAGTCTAACCAAAAAAATAGAATGTACAATCGAGGTTATCAAATAAGTTCTTGAAACCAAATTTCGTTTGTTCGATCGAATTTCCATAAATTCCCCAATATAAAAATGTGAAATTAAGTCATAATCAACCCATGGTGACCCAAAATTAGGACAACAGAAAACCTAGCTAACTATAAACCACGATGCTGCGGAGCAGTAAAACTATAAAATTTCGGATTAAAGCGTGGGTAAACATTTCACATACTCAACGCGTACTTACTAAAGAAACGGAAAATCCGAGCCTTATCTAAATCCGGCAGTGTCAATATGAGGCGCATAGTAATCGTCTCACACTGATAACGCGGATTAAAAATTTTATTTTTTGGAATAAAAGTACGCTTGGCGCCTAGAATTGCAGTAAGGGTCACTCAATTTCTTAATAAGTTGCCCAAGAAATCGATTCTTTATAATGAAAAATAAAATAAAACCGCAATATTCAAAATAGCAACCTGTGGACAAGGTTTTTCTGTGCAGCTTCAAGGTTTCGAACTTATTGTTGGCATTTGGTGAATGCCTTGCAATATAAAAACTTTTGCTGACATTTGGTAAGAGCGCGTATATGTTGCGAAACTAGTAAATATTTTACTCACCCGGAAAATTGATGTTCAAATCTACACTTTAATAAATTCCGAACTAGTAATCAATTTTAACGTCCACTAATAGAATAAGTTAATGCTTTAACGTCTTTTTAAAATATTTACATTCCAAAACTCCTCCTGTCAAATTTCATTAGTCAACTAGATTTCTGTAACAAAATTTCAATATTGCTTGCTTTCGATCTTAAAAAAAAAATGGTGGAAAATTTGTCATGTTTGCCACTCTGTTAAAATGGGATAATTTAAAATAGCTGCAATTCTAGTTTTGTGTTGGTCAATTAGCTTTTGTGTCATGTGTAATGTCAAAAATCTTATTTTATTAGAATTTATATAAGATTATTACTGGAATACTGTTTTATTATGGCTTCAGTATATTTTAATAGGTTGTGGTGTCCTGTAGTGCACTGTTCTACCACAAGATATTTTTTGGTATATACTTATTTTTATTTTATTTTTTACTATGATATCCACTCATTTTTCAGGCGTCCACCTAGAAAAATTTTAGCGATAACGAGTTGGCAGTTCTAACGCATTGCCGATCGAGAGATCGCCACCAAGAAACCTAATAGGATTTCTCAATCTCATAAGACATACGTTCGCCAAAATTATCGATCGCACGTGGTCGCTTGTGACGTAAGCGAAGTCCTCTAACGCTTTTTGTGTATTCTGTCATTGCATTTGAAGGTGTATTAAACCGTTGTATTTTGTGATCTTTGAACAATTAAAATAATTTAAACTAGTGAATAGTGCGCTTATGTTTCTGTTAATTGTATTAATGAAAAAAAAAAAACTTGGACAAAACAGTGTTTTTAAGCTTTAACAAATACTTTAAAATTGTATGTGCTTGAGTGGCGAGAACTGAGAAAAACAGTATTTTTAACCTTAAACAAAGACTTAAAAATTTTGTGTTCGTGCTGCTTATTAGCGAAGTCTTTAGTTAGGAGGTAAGCTGAAAATATTACACATAATAATATAGTTAAAGGTAAGAAATACATTTCTTTTACCTTTTTCAGTTAGTTAGCCTAGAACGAGATGTGCCATGTATGGGTGCAATAACAACTATTTTGATGAAAAAGCAAGTTCTCGAAAATGTAGTTTTCATCGCTTTCCCAAAGGGAAACTATTCGGTACGAGTGGATAGTTCGATGTAGAAGAGAGGACAAACTTAATCCAGATAAAAGCTATTTCTGCTCAGTTCATTTTACTGAAAATGATTGCGAAAGAGACTTACAAAATGAGTTATTAGGTATTTTTTTTGTCTTGAATAACACATTAAATTCAGATTTAAATATATGTAGTGATATGTATTTTTTATATTATATACATACGAAGGTACATAGAAATACATATTATTATTTACCTACCACCTATAAATAGTTGTTGCCTAATATATTTTTTGTTTTTTAATATGTTCTGTAATATATCAAAAAATAGGGATTTCTAGTTTATAAGTATTTGTAGATTTTTGTATATTTAAAATGGTAGAATGCCGTAAAACACAAAGTTTTACAAGTAAATCGTTTTGTTGACTAGTTTAATGTATTTATCTGTAACAATACCCTACGCTACTTACCAATAATATTAAATAAGTACTAAAACGATTTAATATTGTCATTAAATGAAAATAACCATTGATTATCCAAACAAAATGCTATATTAGGTACTCAAAATACTCAAAGTCCATCAAAACTCGGGTCAGTTTCAGATTATTTCCATGCATTTACATAGTAAACGCGACAATACAGGACTTCATCTACGTCACAGCCAGCGAGAGTTTTCGCATTACACTTGCGGACAGATTTGGCGGATTAGGCAATCCTATTAGGTTTACGATTCTTGGGTCGCCACCACTGAATATACTCGAATTAGACATGGATCAATGATTGGAAATTAAAAGTTCGGTCGTTACTTCAGCAACTCCGTTTCATTGCTAATAAAACGTGGTAGACCCTATGCAGTTTATATTTCATATAAATATTGCAACGCAGTGCAGTAATTGCAGATGAAACTTTCGCCTCCCAAATAAAATTATAAAAAATGTCAATGCACAATTTGTTTAAAACACTGTGGATCTTACAAAAGTTTAACCAACAGGGAGTATTAGAAATCAAGCCAATTAAAAATTTGTTTAAAAAACTATTTCTCAATGTTAAAAATAAATGAGCCCAAAATGTAAGAGAATTGCAAAGAAATTAATTTTGGAGAACGCGTAAATTAATATATGTATATTCGATTTTAAGCAGCACTTCAAAAGATTCTCACTTTTTCGTTCCCTTTTAATTAGGAGATTATGGATTCTCCTTATAAAGTGCTTAAAATATTTTCCAATTTTGCCATTTAACACTAACCAACACTAAAAGTTATCGTTTATTGTATAAAAAATTAAAAAACTAACCAAAATGAACAAACTCATTTTGCGCAAAAAACTGTGCCTACCATCAAAAAATTACCAGCTATTTGTTAAAAAAATGCATATAGAAATCATATCCTGCCCACAGGGCTTAAAAAATTGTATAGTGCTGGAATCTGAATGGACAAAAGCAATCGTGTGTCCACCGTCACAAATTGGAAAAACTTGCCGCATGCTTTTATAAAATAGTTTAATGACAAAATATATTTACAGCACTATTTACAAAATTCATTTTCTAAATGTACCGACCAGCAAATTATTCTTATTAGTACAACTGGGCGGCTGTAGTTTGCCCAAACTGACTTCATAACCACAGCTTTCGGCGTGTAACTTTCTGTCTGTATCAATAATGTCCATGCACCGATATCCTTGCTCAGTTTTGGCATTGTCTTTGTCGTGAGTTTGATCTGCCGCGTGTGCCAGGTCAAAGTAGCTATACTCACGCCCACTAAATAATTCTTGGTACGCGGCACTACGTGGATAAGTTAACTCGTGACACTGTTTTATACCACCATAACAACAAGGGCAGCATAAGAAATCCGCTTTGTTTCTGATGCACATTTGCAGCACCAAGTCAGTTGCTACCCCGCATGCATGCAACGCCACTCCCAAATCAAATGTACCCACAAAATAATCCAGATTCGATTGAACTACAGTCACATTTGGGAGTTTCAAATCACTTAGAGTCTCTCTGGCCCGTACTAGAGACCTCTCTTTGTTTTCCACCAAAACAATGTGGCAGTGTGGTAATAAAACAGCCAAGAGTATACCTAAATGTCCACTTCCACTGCAAAAATCCACAATTCTATAGTTTTTCTCTGAAACTATATGCATTGCCGCCTTCGCCATACTTTCCAACTGTTCACATTTTCTATCAGCTCGGCTCTGTGGCAGGGAGCCACCTTTTGGGTTGGCTGCCAAAGGGATATCGTTCCAATTAAATTTGATGCTGTGTCCAGGAGATAGAACATCATTTCTTATGCCATTTTTTATTTTTTCTACCAACTTAAAAGCGTCGTCGATTTTATACTGCTTTGTGTGCTTCTCTGCATTATCTCTAATGAAATCAGCCTTATACAGACTGCCACAGGTGACACTAGGAACAATTATTTGTATTTTATCAGTAGCCAAGTTACATTCCCCATTTACTTTGGGGAAATTATGCTCTAACCTTAACCTATCCAACCAACCAATGATATGAGGTATTTTCGAATTTATTTTTGAAAAATCAATAGACCTTGCAATCAGTTCAAAACAGGGATATAAAATAGCATCGGCTAGTGTTATATATGGTCCCTCAGAAAAGTTGTGATAAATTTTCAAATGCTCTTTAGGAACAGAACTCTGTAAACTTTGATTGTTCTGTTCATTTCGTGCTATTTTGTAAATGTTATGTATTCTTACTGGCTTGGCTAGATGACACTCATATTTTACCACATTTTCAGGTAAATACACCAAATTGCTGTCCGGCCTAGGACTGGCTAAAATATCTTCCACGCTTTTCATCATGTCTATTTCACAAAATTTTGTCCAGACAGAGCTTTCGGCACAAGCGACAAGGCAAGATTCACGAAATCCTAACCACAATCTTACATTTTCATTGTCTGCAAATTTGACTACTTGGCGGGCTACAGAGCACATACCGGAAATGACATAGCTGTCCAAAACCAACACTGGCCACGTACACAAATTTGTAACTCCTGGAAAATCATTTAATATATCCAAAACATAATCTGACAAGCACAATTCAATCAGCGGCTCCACAGGTTTGATGTTTACTAACCTCGCTTTCAACTGCAAATCTCTTGGTTGAACTATTCGATATAGGAACAAGATAACAAAGGTTCTAGTATTCACAAAGAATTTACCAACTTCATGCCAGATGTTAATATATAAACACGCCATTTTTACTATACACAATTCGCCAACTGTCTTTGTACTCTCTGGAGCATTCGTTTATTCAATACTTTCTTCCTAGAGAAAACACAAATTACTGAAACTGCACTTAACCCAAACATCGATGCCTCAAAGCGCCAAAAAGATTGTTCGTCATAATATGCAGTCCTATCGCAGCTTCTCGTCACATAGTCTCCGTTGGCACACTTTAATATTTCTTTGTATTTAGTATGAATGCATACACCCAAAGTTTTGCTGCGTAACTCAAACGGTGTACAAGGCTCGCAATCCTTTACCACTTCGTACGACTCCTTCTCCCAACAAGTCGAATTTTGTTCCACTATAAATGAGCGTCTCTTAGAGGAGATTCTCTCGTTGTCCGTCCAGTGAGATTCCACTATTAAAATGACGATCGTTAATCTAGAAATGATTGTAATCAGAACTCAATTTTTTATCTACCGTTTCCCTTACATCCCCAGAAGTGTGATACCCAGTAGCATTCGCTTTTTGGGGCACGACTCTATCATTTTGTAAATTTAAATAAAAATGATGAAATAACGTGTTTAATACTATAATTATCACTTGTCAAATATAAGTTTAAGGTTAGGGCCATACGATCTAGTAATTGGTCTATGGTGTCCTTTTAAGATAGAGGTGGGAGTATACGTTTCATATTTCGCAGAATATCGAAATATTGAAATGACTTATTTACAATGTTCTGCGTCTGTTTCAAAAGAATTTCACACGAATTTTTGTTGTTTAAAAATAGCTTTCTCAACGTTACAGCAATAAAACACATCGGTACGTGCAAAATGAATTTATTAAACAGCTAATAAATAAAAAATAAGTTATTTTATAAATTAACGTCAGTTCACAACCGTTACGAGATCAGTCAAGTGCTAGAGTCGTCTCTCTCCTAGTGCCAACGAACAGCCCTGCTAGAGTCTACCTAGCACTTCTTCTAGCGGAAACGACGTGTCTTTCAGATGTCTCTTTCTAATTTGCCTCCTTACTCTGCGTAAATATTTCAGGTCGGTAGTAAACAGGCTCCTGATGGTTGGGTTTTGCTGAATAAGCTCCGGCAAAACCGACTCGATTCTTGACACATCCCGTTTGCTGATCTTCTCGTTTGCCGGCAAGTCCAGAAAATTCTCCCTTCTGATTCCGGCAACTCTCGCATCGATTGTCGACACTGTCGCGACGCAAAACACGAAAATAACGAAACACCACTTAGACGCCATCTTAAAACGATTCGTTCGTGTTCGATTTGCTTTGTATTCTGATCGCGGCCTACTATTTCCGCAGCGATTTATACCCGAACCGCCGCTGTCATTAGAAGAGACACCCTGGCTGATTGACGCACTTAGCCTACGCGCTAATTACTCCAGCACACTGACCACAAAAGTCCAATCGTTAAAGAGTAATTTGTTCGTCGGCGTTTTATGATTTCGGACAATACAAATTTGCGCACAATCTTTTGTATGCACAATGGCTTCGTTTAGCGCTTCGGTGTTTTCCACCAGAGAGAGCGAATTCGCATAAACATCACGAGACTTCCGGATTATTTTTGGATCTGGATATTTACTTTAAAAATCGTTCGGCGCTTATAACCTATTGTGGCGTGGAACGCGAATTTTATTGCATATTAAAATGTGTATTTTTAACGTAGCGTCAATTAATTGTTGGGGAATGGGTTGATGGTAAATACCTGAATCATCGTTTACCGAAAATTGCCGACGATTTGGAATTATCGAGATCGAATTATAATTCGGGTAAAACTAAATTTAGAGGACGCAAAGTAATAGAACAAACGGAATGAGTCAAGATTGCGACACATATATTCACCAAAAGCTAAGTCGCTGCTGAAACAATATTAAGCTACCTACAGTCGAATTTAATTTCTCCAAAGTTACGCATTTATTTCATTTGTGGGAAATTTCTTTTTAAATTTCTTGTCTTATTCCTAAACTAGTTGATGCTGCGTGTTCGAAAAACACTTTAAATTAATTATAAAATAGGATTAGATATTGATATCACGTAATTATCTCAAACTTAATTTGTTTGTGAAAACAGATTAATTCATAAAATGAAATTCGTGGCAACATCTATGTACCTGGAAAAACAAAAGTATAGTCGCATTTTGGGAAAAACCTAACGACCAAAACCTAAGTTGAAATTGATGACTGTGGCGTTAAATGTCTTTATATTTATGATATCTTTCCAGTTAAAACGATGGCCCATTATGTCAGTGTTCTTCTGCTCCCCTCCGATATTACTTTCTATTTATATATAATAAATAAAAAATTCAGTGTCATCAAGGCTCTCAACGTACTTTGTCAATAATTTTGGGTATTTAGGAATGCATATTTCCAATGTTGGTTTGACTACATACACCAAACATTTCATGACGAGATATTTATGCAGTATTATTTTAACAACAAAATTCTGATAATAATAGTTTTGGAGTCATTTAAATCTATTTTTTACGGAGAAAATTGACATAAATAATATTAAAATAATAGTAATACGAAATATATTTTAAAATAATTTAAATTTTGATCCGATTATGATCCAGTGGCGTATACCTACATAGTTCGATTGAAACGCAGCTACATCTAGACAAAAACTGCTTTGAAATAGTTTCTATGAAATTTTAATTGCATTTAAAGCAGTGGGTGGACAGAATTTTAAAGAAATTGATTTAGTATGTAAGTTGGAGTAATATAATTGCGCCTTCCTTTTTTGTAAAAGCATCAACCAAAAATTAACGAATAGGCTATAGTTATACCAACCAAAATTATCAAATGCTAACGAGTTTATCATCAAATTAATTTTGTATAGTCCGACATACAATAAATAAAAGTTCATGATTGTAACAATTCTATTAAACCTTTTTATCTGCTCCTAGGCATTTTTGAGCCAATACGGTCCAGGGTAGTAGTAAGGAAATTGAATAACAAATTATAATACTGCATAAATGTAATTATATAAATAATAAATGCATATTAAATAAATTTAGTAGTCAGAATAGTTTGAATCTGTGCTATCACTAACATCCAAGAATATAATTAATGGTCTTACGACGTCCCAAGTTTATTTTACAATTATTTTTCATTTCAAGTATATGAACAATACATTGTCTGCAACTGCTCTCAAGTATTAATGTATTGATTCACACTAAAATTTAATTACATCAATTACTTTCCATTACATTACTGCGTCTAACCTTGCTTTTTTATTTCGGCCCACAAAATTTCGGTAGGATTCAAATCGCAGTGATGAGGTGGTAATCGGAGAGGTGTACTAACGGATTTTTTTATGACCTCGTCATCGAAATAAGTTTTATCATATAATTTTTCTAAAAAATTAAACTACTTGTTTTTTATGTAGGTATCTCTAAAATAAAGGTCATGCTGACTAATTATGCTGATTATTATAAAATATTACACTGCCTGGTGGGATATTTGCAAAGCATTTTTTACCCCACTGTAAAAAAGTTCATTTGTCATATCTTGATGGTAGTCCAATGAGCAGTCTTTAATATTTTTTGCTGAAAGTAGCAAAAGTAGTAAGTAGTAGAAAGTAGCACCCAACTTTCCCTTGAGCCATAGGGTAATAATAATGATGTTTTATTGATCTATATAAATGAAAAATACATATTTGGAAGAAGTGAATAAGCAATGACAAAAATAAATACATAAACATAGGTATAAAATAAACACAGACACATAATTTAATTTTAATTTAATAATTAAATTGTATGCACAATCTACGTCTCCGAAAAGTACTCCTTAAATTAATTTAGGTCATAAAATGCCTCTGGTATCAGAATTGCTTTCAATTTTCTTTTAAAAGAATATTGTAAGAGAACGGGGTCCTCTCGGGGTAAAGTGGGTAGCACGAAAACACGGAGACTTCTTACTATTTTACTAAGTTTGCGATAATCTTTAACAATTAGTTTTAAAACGAATGATCAAATGCGTGAATAAAACGAAAATAAAACTTCGCGTCCGTCGCGTAACGCCGTCGAACCGCAACTCCCGTGTCGGAATCCGGACTCGTCGTGACGTGCCGGGGTCCGAGCGGGATCAAAAGGTTTTTTGCGTCGGGCCGTCTCAAGGCGTTGCGGTTAATTTAATATAATTGGTGGTTCGTTACAATATTTAAATATTTAAAAGAAGATATCCTGTATAAACAGATGAATTTTTATAACTGTAATAATTGTATGCATTCAATTTTAATTGTTTTTTTTCTAGTCAGCTATTTATGTATGTCCCCTACTTCTAGTTTAAATTGCTATTTAGAATGGCTCCCAAAAACTTCACAAGCTTTTATGGTAACAAAATCTGTTGCTGATTTATGAAAATAGACATAGATAGTCTTAGACATATTCCACATTAGCCTAGGTATTTCTAAAGCACCAATGTTTAAATTATCGAACGACCATAACTCCTCGACCGTCAATGCCCATATAATGATCGATGTATCAGCAGCAAACAAGAAAATCTAAAGAGTCTAACGGCCGCGTCAAGTCAAAGAAAAACTCAAACACGTGCTCCTTCCTCTCCAGCAAATCATTAATATGTAGCACCAAGCCAACTGTAGCCGTCTCAGTAGAATGCGCTAACCGAAAGCCACGTTGTTTCCATTTACTAATATTTTATTTTTAGTTTAAAAGTGATTTAAACGCGAGGCTATAGCTATTTCTATAATTTTGGATATAGTAGTCAAGAGACAAAATTGACGGGTGACATTGGGTCATCTTTCTTATGAACTAACTAAACTAACTAAAAACTAATAACTAAATTTTTTTTTAAAAGAGGGAAACTTTTTATAAAACTTCTGGAATGCTCCTGCCTCGGTTTTTGTTGAACTAGCTAACGTTTCGCCAATCATCCTGTTGGTTTCTTCAGAGCTTGACTGAAACTGGCTCGCATTTTACTCTGTACCTGCTTTTATAATGTTTGACGGAGGCAGAGCTAAATGAGGGGCATAAACACCGTCTCGGATGACTGATTCCCATATTGGTGACAGGTAGAGACCTGAGTCGCGGTTAATATTGTTAAGTTGCTTATAGATTTCTATAGACTCTCAGATTTTTCGTTAGTAGAAGAATTCTTTACATGGAAGAATTTAGTTTATTAAAACCATCTACAGGGAAAACTAACAGTTTCGTAATTAATATCTTTCACTTCATTGAATAAATAAAAAGCATTACATTAGATATACACCAGATATTCTAGTTAGTTTCGACGTAGAATCCCTCTTTACCAAAGTTCCTATTCCTGAAACTCTCGACATCATTTCAGATATATTAAAATCCGAGAATCTGGAACCAAACCTTCTCACCTTAATTGAAAAATGCTTGTCCGGAACATATTTTTCTTATAACGGGAAGAAACGTAGGGAACGGCTATGGGTTCTCAACTAACACCAATCATCGCGAATGTATTTGGCTTTGAGAAGAAAGCTCTCGACACCTTCCAACTAAAACCAAAATTATGGAAACGCTATGTCGATGATACTTTTGTTATTTGGCCTCATGGTCAGTAATCACTGGTAGATTTTTAGACATTTAAACTCTATACACCCCAACATTCGTTTTATCATTAAAATAGAAACTAAATTACAGCCTCCCAATCTTAGATATTCTTATCAATACAAAATCAGACCTAACATAGGGTCATTGTGTTTACAGAAAACCTACGCACACAGACCGATACCTTAATGCATTGTCACATCGCCATCCCGCCCAAAAATCATCCGTTATCAATTCTCTTTTTTACAGCCCTAAAACTATCTCAGCCAGAGTCATTGAACCCAGAATCAAAACACCTTACCTATGCTCTTCTCTTTAATAATTTCCACATTAAAGATATTAAGCGTTCAATCACAAATTACATTTCACTACAACCTTCCAATAGCAATGAAGCCTAAAGCAATCCCACACTTGCCACTGTTGTCCTTCCTTACATTAAAAACATCACTCACCACATATCAAAAGTTCTAAAGAAATATAACGTCAAAACTGGATTTGCCACTTGTTCAAAAATCTCTCAACATAAATGCGGGCCAGTTTCAGTCAAGCTCTGAAGAAGCCAAGAGGATGATTGGCGAAACGTTACCTAGTTCAACTCAACAAAACCCGACGCAGGGGAAGAATCTAGAAGTTTTATAAAAAGTATTACAGGAGCCTGTGGAAGTTTCTTTGAAAAATTGTGATATGATAAAAAGCATAGCAATGATTGCTTCAAATTACTTACTTACTTACTTACTTACATATACTTTTTCTCTGGATACAGGTACATTCAAAATGCAGCTCAAAGAAAGTAATCAACGGTCCTCCCAGCAGCGGCAGCATCTGGCGTTTTTAGAAGACCTGCAGACAAATTTTCCATTAAAAAATATAAATTATTGGCGGCTTTTTTTATTTGCTATGTTAAAGTTTCAAGAATGTTATAGTAAACGTTGACTGATGTCTTTAAAACAGTTTGTTTGTTTGTCCGATAATAAACATAATTTGTATTAAATTATTTGGAATCTAGGAAAATCTTAGATTCTTGTCTGCTGTCAATATTGCTTAGCTAGGATAACCATTTTTTTTTCTGATCGCTACCCCTTCTTTCGATATGAGTGTGCAGGATATGATTGTTATGAAACGGCTACTGCTGTCCTGGCTAAATTAGGGAAGTGATTTTCGACGTCTCGCTCACTGGCACCCAACGTCAAAGTGAAAGATCTAGTTTGACCGGCCTTGCCGACTGCATAAAAATCGTGTTGCTACGCGTTTGTTTATATAGAGTAAACAAAAGGTATATTTTTGTAAGTGCAATTTGTTTTGGATCAAAATTTATGTGCGCGGCGGTGCTTGAAACAGCTTTTGAGGAATTCGTGGATGTTCAGCCGAGTCAATGAGCAATGAAGGAACCGCGGCTCTTGTGCAATATTATAGAGGCCATCGTTAATTTAAAGGAGAGAAACGGATCCACCGAGAAACAGATTACCGACCACGTAAGAACCCGTTACGCGATTGTTCGTAATTTAATGGCGCGTATGGGCTGGTCTGCTCTATTTAATCAGGCAGGATTACGTGCATTAGAAAGGCATTAGTGTGATGTGTCTCAAAGTATGTCATAATTACTACCTTCATACCTATTGTTATTAGGTAAAACCTAATACATAATTTATTCATGGGTAAGGGATAATGGACGGGTGAGTGGAATATTCAATAAGTAGAGAAATCATTTAGCAAGAAGTTTAAAAAAAAAGTATTTTGAATCAAGTTACAAGAAAACGCAACTTTTCCAAGTGCTTATGCTATTAAAAAAATAGATAGTTTATCTGAACAGATGGGGCATACCATTTTGCGACATCCTCCATATCATTGTATATTCAATCTTATAGAACATTGGTGGCACCAAGCCAAAATCAAATGTGGAGGAAGAAAAGGCTATTAATTAAAAACGCAGCTAATAATATAACTGTTCAGAGCTGGAAAAGCAGGACGCCTTTTTGTTCCCGAATGACTATTACTTAGGACTAAATAAGACTGTTACGTTTGTCAGCCATATTAAAGCATACGTTCACAACGCTTCTGTAATTCGCACTTCGCAAGACTCATCGCATGAATTCACTTTAATTATGGAGGTGGACGAACGGTGAAAGTGTGGGTTGTTCAGGTCATTAAAGTGATTCTCTAGTAAACCATTTGAGGAACCTTTTGTACAGGGCGAGTCAACGATAAACTTCATTATCTCACTGGTTTCAAAAGTTATAGAAAATGATAAATACAAAATTTTGACAATTATTTTACAGTACACAAGGTGGCTCAAAAAAGCTTGACCAATACAACATACAATTTTTAAAGGGAACACCCTATTTCTAAATTTTCTTTTGAATTCGTTTTGAAGTTGTTCAATTTTTTAACTAATATCTAAACCTAAAAGATATATACAACGGAAATTGAAAATAAATGTGAATATTTCGATCTTTTTTAAATTGAATTTTACGAAACTTAGCTTAGATACTGAAATAAATCGGGATTTTTTGACATGAGAAATCCATTTCCGAGAATAATTCTGGGGCAAATTGTAGAGGGCGCTACGTAAGGTACTTTTCATGTATTTGATACTTACTAACTTTTTTGCGCCTTAATATATACGGATTTATAATTAAAGATATCACTTCCTAAAACTTTTTTACATAAAACACTTTTACACCTTTAAAATTTCGCCCCCAGCCGCCGTTTTTGAGAAATTTGGATTTGAATTTTTCAGTACATCATTACGTAATGCTATCTATTTTAAAATAATCTAGAGAATGCATATAACTGAGCTAATATAGTAGTACAGACCTCGACAACGTTTTTGATATTACTGGTTTGGGGATTTTCAAACACAAAAAGGAATTTTATGCAAATACGAACAATACAAAAAATATAAACTAAAGTAATATATAAAAACTATTCATAAACAATAGATTTCTATTCGGCAATAAATGTTAAAAATGATTTCCATTCACTGTGATCCATTTAGAGGCATGTTTATTAAAAGACTGCCTGATTTTAAATATTAATCCCTTATTTCGAATGTGTTATAATTAATCTCGAGTACGCACTACTTTTTTATACACTAGCCACTTCATATATCCCCAATTAGAAAAATTAATTGAAATCTGAACTCCTAGGCAGCCAAGGTGTTTGACTCCCACGACCAATCCAACTTTAAGGAAATTGATTATTCAGGTTATCTCTAACATGTCGGGAAAAGTGCACCGGAGAGCCATCTTCCATGAAAATCATTGTTCTTAACTCTTAACCTTTTTGTGTAAAAAAGATTTAAAAAAGTTTGGAAGTATCAAATGCACGAAAAGTACCATATGTAGCGCCTACAATTTTTCCCAAAATTATTCATGAAAATGGATTTCTCATTTTTGAAAGAAACTTGCACAGGTTACTGTAATACTATTTACAAATCTGCTGGATCCCTCCTGCCAATCATCCTATTGGCTTCTTCTGAGCTTAACTGAAACTGTTTCAGTTTGATTCAACAACAACCCATACAGGAGGAAACCAGAAATTTTGTAAATGGATTTTTCATGTCAAAAAAGCCCGATTTGCCCAATTTTTTGCAAAAAAATCCAAAATCAAATTGCAATTTTCTCACCCTGTATCTCGGTTAATATCAACTTTTGAGTTTGAGTTTCATTAAATCGTAATATTTTTACTCTATTTTTCTACCATTATTTATGGGACACCCTGTATATTATATTTTTTTCTGAAAGATCTTACAAACACCTGCAACTTTCATCAAGTATGTCATATACCTATTTATAACCTAAGCTATAGGTTATTATGATAATTTCCGTCAAACGCCAAGACAAAGTATAACAAAGTAACAAAGTATAACAATCTCGGTATCGTCTTCACAGGAAAGTCTCTACAGGGGTGTGGTGATGAGAACTAAGCAAAATTATATATATTGTTTATTGGCACTGAAAAAATTAATATTAAAGTTCACACAGCATTTTTTCAAAAAATGAAAAATAACGGAATTACGGAAAGTGTCTTTTTTTAACTGAATTTTTCTCAATAACTGTTTTCTAGATTGCAGATTAACTTTAAATTTAGCACCCTGATTACCAATGTTATTTTGTCTTTTTAGACCAAGTTTGACATAAAACCCTCAAAGTCAAAAAGCCTTAGTTGCACACGAAATTAAGAACATGTCCTCGAACTTTTTTGTTTAAAGTTTTTAGATATTTTAAAAGCTCGTAATTAAAGACCATTAAAAATGCTTTAAAATCTTTTAAACTTTATCAAGTGATATTAGAACTAACCATGTTCAGATTTTCATAAATTATTTATTGGTCTATGCCAGATGTTTCGGCAACACCGTGCCTTTGTTAAATGCGTTGTTAAATAAAGTTTCATCAAGTTCAATTTTTGCCCTTTTACTTTACGTGTACTGAAATTTTTGAAGTATTTTCTTTGCAATTGAAGCAATTAAGTGATTAAGTGCAGAATAGAAAAAGCAAGGCAAGCCTTTATCAAAATTAAAAACTTTTTAAACACCAAAATCAGAATCCTTTAATGTTACGTTTTCTTGATACTCTTCCACGGAGTAAAGTCACTGACAAAAGCAAACCAGATAAAACTTGAAGTATTTGAAATGTGGCTATATAGGAGAATTTTAAAGATCTCGTTGGTAGGACAGGGTTTCTAATCAATTACTACTGGAAAGTAAACACTATAAAAAGAAGGAAACTTGAATATCTGGGCCATATAATGAAAGAGGAAAACAAATATCATCCAAGATATTCGTCAGAGAAAGTTCTAGGAGATCATGACTGAAGAACATGATTTTCCAAAACAATCTCTGAATTCCAAATATTACCATTATTCCAAAACGAATAGACTTCTGAAGAAGAAGAAGGAATGAAACTTATGTTTATCTTGTGATTAATTTCAATTGTTTCAATGTTTCACTTTAGAAACCTCTCTTTTAAAATTTGCAAAAACTTTAAACTTGAAATTTTCTCAGGGTTTGATATCAAATTTAGTCTAAAAATAATAAAATTACAATTCATTAAAATATTTTTTTAACACCCTATAGTTTTTTTATTAAAAAAAACAATTTGTGAACTTTAACATTAATTTCTAAATGATTACATATATAATACGACCAAAAATATAGTGCATTTATTGCTTTGACGTTTTAACTATTTTAACCTACCTTAACCGCAGTTCTTCGCAAGACCTTGGAAAAACCTTTCCCAACAGATTCTGCATTAAGTAGGTCTTGCCTGAAATGGACCGTAACGAATATTTGTAGAAACTTGAAATTTTTATTTGAAACGATTTAAATTTGATTGAGCATTGATGCTGAGGGGTATTTTCGAATAAGAAGAAGCGTTTATTTTAAGATCAGTTGATATGTATGTATAACACTACACCAAAATTTAGTAATAGTACCATAAACGTAATTCGGCAAGAGGTAGCTAAAATATCAGTACATAGCTGATCTAACTGTTAAAAACGAGTAATAAAAAGAAAATATTTATCGAGAACAATTAGTGGCGGAGTTGATCATTGAACTAGGCCAGGAGAGTAGCGATAGTGACGATTTTAAGTGACCGATACTAGATTATTATTATATTTAATATTTTGTATATTAATAATGATACTATGTAGAAATGTAATGAAATAGAACGTAATTAATTTTTAGTTTGTACTAATAAATTCCTAGGACGGTCCTGGAATAACCATTCCTTTACAGGTAAGGGTCTGCCCGGCAGTTAGCTCTATAAGGGGCTGTGGTTTTGGAGTAATGAAACAAGTAGGCAAAGTTAATAACGGGTTCGGTTTTAAAAGCACTATATTTCTGGTGTAAGTGTAACTTTATTTGAAAACGGACATTCGCCAAAAGCACCAAATTTAAAGCAACCCAACTTTACTGCAAAAACAAAACAACATTGCAAACAATAAGTAGTAAATTCGTTTGTTAAAAATCGGTTTAGAATTAAAATCGCGTGTAACTCGTTTTTGGCCCTCCCTATTTCATCAGGTTTATCCATTGAAAAAAGTTGTATAAAGGTATATTCATTATTTGGAAAATTTCGAAATATAATGTTTGTTGTTGTTGTTTTCTTTACTAACATTGGTTACCCGTTATTTTTAATTAGCTGGGTGAAATCCTCAAGAAGGACCCAAATCAACGCCGTAATTTAGCTGTCCAAATAAAACGGGCCATCGACCATGGTGTAAAAACTGGTTTGGTCAAGCGGAACAGGGGCAAGTATTCGGTCGGACTGAACGTCAGCGTCATCAAATCATTGAGGAACATGCCGTTGGTTGAACGTATGTAGAGTTAAAATTTATACTTATGTGTTTCGACTTCGTATTAGTGAAAATACTTTTTATCAAAAAAGAGGGAATACTGCGCACACAAATGGAAGGTGTTTTTTTTTCGATATATAGAATTTTAAGTTGGCATTACTGTTCAAGATGGCGACCGATTTAACAGCCGTCAAGTGAATAGACTCACGCCTGAACAACGCTTGCAAATGGGCCCAAAACGACATTGCCGTTGTTCCCGATTTTCATAAGGGAATCTTATTTAGCGATGAAGCGCACTTCTGGTTAAATGGCTAGTGTATGTCGAAACACCGTTACATCCAGAAAAACTGACTGTTTGATGCGCTTTATGGGCTGGGGGAATCGTTGGTCCGTACTTCTTCAAAAATGATGATGGCCAGAACGTTACAGTCAAAGGTGATCGGTATAGAGCTACGATTACTAACTCTTTCATTCCTGAATTGAATAACCATGATGTCCAGGAGATGTGGTTATAACAAGACGGCGCAACATGTCACACAGCTCGTGCCACAATCGATTTATTGAAAGACACGTTTGGTGACCGCCTAATTTCACGTTTTGGACCTGTGAATTGGCCTCCAAGATCTTGTGATTTAACACCGCTAGACTACATTCTGTGGAGCTATGTTAAATCATTGGTTAATGCGGATAAGCCACAAACGCTTGACCATTTGGAAGACAACATTCGCCGTGTTATTGCCGATATACGGCCACAAATGTTGGAAAAAGTTATCGAAAATTGGACGTCCAGATTGGACTACATCCGCGCCAGCCGTGGCGGTCATATGCCAGAAATCATATTTAAAATGTAATGCCACAAGATTATCTTTTGGATAAATAAAATTTATGTCAATCAAATAATCCATCGTTGTTTTATTGCAACTTAAAGTTCTATACATCGGAAAAAAAACACCCCTTACATAAAAGCACTTACAAAATACAGTCTTTTTACTTCTCACAGCAGACTATCGATTTCTCTTGAAATCACTCAGTAACTTAACAAACTTGTGTATTAGTTACACGGTATTAAATTTCTCATAAAAAAATAACTCGACGATACGCAAGTTAGAAATATATATTTTTAATGGCTTTTACCTATAAGGGACAACGATTTGGAACGTATGGGGGTTTTCATTTATATTTTGACACCAACTTACAGGGTTTATTATTATTTATTTATATTATTGTGAAAACTTTGTATTTAATACGTATACGGGCTTAGTCAAAAGTTACGCAAATATCTCAGGTATTATTAGACTTATGAAAATTTAGTATACGGGGATTTCTAGTTAGGCCACTTTTAATGGTTTTCACCCAAGCCTCAAAACTTTCTTATTTAAATTTTTGGATCACTCTTAAAATTCTAAATATTTTTCATATATATATGTATGCATACTATACCAAATTCACCCGTTTTTGCAGGAATTACAAAAATGTAGCTTTATTAGTTCTTGTGCTTTGAACTTGTAGTATGATAAAATAAATGCTATGAAGGACTCATTGATCTTGCGACGGATGACAAATGTCCATGGGAGACGTGCCCAGTGAAATAAAACAAAGAAGAAGTACAATAATTCCTGAGATATATGATTCTTGCTCGACTTTTGACTAGCCCTGTAAATTCATATCACAAACGATCGTAGTAATGAAAAAAAAAGAACAACCCTAACCTTTTGAAATAGAAGACTTATTTTTTAGTTCAATAGTAACTCAAAGTCATAAGTAATTTACAAATTTTTCAAAGTACTCATCATGGTTTGCTCTGTAGCTTCATAGTTTTTTTTTTAACTTGCCTGGTTTCTATTAAATAAAAATATTTTGTTTTCAATTCTTCAATATTATTTAGTCTATCGTAATATAAATATATTTTTTGAAGGTAACCCCGTAAGAGTCAGTTAAGGTCGCTTCAAAAATTTCCAATATTTTTATCAGCCAATGTGGGCCTTTGCATTTTTTACAGTAAAGGTCGCTTTAAAGCAACAGTGTATTATGTAATAAAAGCGGCAAACGGCATTTGAGTCTCGACTGTATTTGGCACTAGCAGAGCGAGTGTTTTATCAACAAGTGACTTAAAAAGTTTAACAAAAGTCTTGCATACCATACTTTTTCTACAACCCTTAGTTTTTGGGTACATTTTTGCAAACAACAAAATTAACCCTCTAGGTAATATCCTCGAAATGTGCTAAGTGACTCTGATAAGTGGGATACGAAATTAATAAAGTGACGCTTAACGCACGCTAGAGCGGTGTATAATTAAGTATTTTACAGAAGGGAACAGAAAAAACTATTTTTGTTCAAAGAAAAACATATTGAAGAAGAAAATAAAATAGCGTGTTTGATTCTTTTTCTTGATTTCCAACCGTGCTCTAACTCTAACTAACTAACCAAAACTAACTAAAACGTGGGTGCGACTAAAACTTATTAACAATGTTTTATTTTAAAAGACGATAAGGATAGTAATTCCATTTTTAAAAACAGGGACAAACTATATTTTTGAATTGGGAAAGTAGAAAGTTCTGTTGAAAATATGAAGTAGTTGATTTTTTTTATATTTGCATTTGTTTTTATAGGCTCCTTCAGAAGATAAGAGAGAAAAAACCATACAAGTGTTGCGTATAAAGTAATAATAAACCCTATAGGTGGGTTTCAAAGAATAAATGGATCCATTTGTGCCGTGTAATTATGGGAAAACATGTTATTATGGAAGATACAAAGATGCAGTGTGCACATTACCATAAATGGTGTAATAAGATTTTCAATAGTGCCCGTGGTTTCTAAGCTACGAGAAAAAAAATTGTGATTTTATCTGACTGACCACTATATTGACAATCATTGTTTTATGAAGCAGTTCGATCTAGCACTGTCTATATCACTGTCTTAGATTTTTGAGCATGACGTTCTTTTCATTTTAAATCCTCTCTTGCTTTTTATTTTTCATTTCAATATGAGGTTCAGCATCGCATATATCTCAAAAGTATTCCAACTCACTCAGCTGATTTTCATTGATCAGGGTGCCAGTAAAGGGAACTTTATTCATTTTGACGAATGCTGCTCGCGCCTTTTCAATTCTAATTTCAATTTCATTAGATGAGTCCCATTTATCGTTGATGTTACTGTCCAAATGCGTCACCATCTTAACTCTTTCCAGAGGTGTTCCCTACAAGTAAATGTCTTCATCCTGAAGTGGGGACATGTTTACTACGTTGTTATCTGATATTATTAACAGTTTTTCCCTTTATGATCCCTTTAGGTATGCTGTTGCTCATGGCTTCGGAATACAGGTTGAGCAATTAAGGTTACAGAACGCAACTCTTTCTTGATCTCTATATCATCGTTGAGATGCGGTCCAATTTTTACTACTATTTTTTAATTCCAATATAGATTTTGAATAAGACGGATATCTATGTTTCAAATACTAATCAAAAATCGCGTCTTTGGGCATTATAGTAATTAAAACCGTTATATACCATTAGATATCGCTGTAAAACCACCTTTCTCAGTCAAATTCTTGCCAATTTCGATAAGAACCCTATCAGAATCTGCTTTTTCGCCTCTTATTGCACCCAAATCTACCTTAGAAAGGCAGAAACAGATTCCGGTCAAAATCGGCTCTTCCGACAAATAACGAACCTAAAACCTCATCAAAACTGCAGATACCAGCTCAAACTATCATTTTTTGATACAAATAGTTCCATATTCATGTCAATATCTTTCAAATGCTACTCAGAAATTGGCGTCTATAAGCATTATAGTAGAGAAAACCATTTGATATTTCTGTAAAACCCCCTTTCTGAGTCAAATATTTGCCGATTTCGCTAAGATCCCAGTCAAAATCTGCTTTTTCGCGTCTTATTGTACCCAAATCTACCTTAGAAAAGCAGATATGTACTTAATGGGACAAATAATTGGTTTTAGCTCTTGATTTCGAGTAGATTATAGTCAAAACCAGCATTTTCATAACTTTCCGCACTGAAATCCCCTTTAAAACTGCACATAACTACTTAAAAACCACTTTTTTTAGTTGATAGTAGGTTTTTCTTCCATTATTTAAACAGATTCCAGTCAAATTCGGCACTTCCGACTCATATCGTACCTAAAACCGCATCAACACTGCCGATATCAGCTTAAACTATAATTTTTTCCGTAGTTTGATAGCTGTCTAACTTTCTGGATCAGTTTGACTCTGTTCAGTGTCATGTAGATGATGTCAATTTCTTCACACTTTTCTTCTTTTTATGAGTGGATTCTCCAATATTTTGTTTCGTTCTTGTTTTTGCATCTCTTCGGAAAGCTTATTCTTCTGAATTTCTTTAAAATTATTTTTTGTCACTATTATTTTTTGTTGTAATAATCGTTGACATCTGTTCTTCTAGGAGTTGTTTAATTTCATTCTGTGAATCTTAGCATTTCTGTATTCTGCCTTTTTCTCGGCTTTCTTAAGTTGAATTCTTATTTAGGCCACGAGGAGGTTGTGATTTGATGGTACGTCGGCTCCAGCTTTAATAGAGTTTCTGAATCTCTTACTGATACGAATGTAGTCCATCTGATTTCTGGCCACACTCAGGTGCATTTGAGGGTGAATTCTAAGTGTACAGGTGTCTTTAAAGAAGCTTAAAAAATGTGTTGGTTAGAAAATTCAGTTCCTTCCAAGTTTACCACAATTTCTTGTCACCCGCGAGTGGAATAAAATGATCTTCTTTTCAGACTCTATTCTGTCCAAGGTAGGTACAGTTCCATAATGATTCAATAGCTCTCTCGCATTACGAAACACAGCATATTGTACTAGCTAAACACGTAGACTGCGCGATTCGCACTTGAAAGTTTAGAATGTAAAAGTAGGGTCGGTCTTAGCTTGCAGTTCGGTGAAGAGAGGGAGACGGCGGCGCCGACGCCGCAGGAGCGGCAGGAGGAGGAGCCGAAGGAGCAAGAGGCGTCGCGGAAGGCGCCACGCTCTGACTGAGAACGACGTCAGTGAGGAGGCAGAATCGGCATCGGAAGGGAGTCTTGACGGTGAGAAACCGCGGCGCAATTATATAAATTTGCTTTCTAAATTGTTTTTTATTCATTTTGAAACGTAATGAATGGGTCATAGAATAGCGGCATATTCTTTATTCCAAATTCAACACTTACGATAATACAAGGTGATAAAGGAAATTTCATTTTTTGGTTTTTTATTACATCCGCAATTAAAAAAATGGGCACAAATTTCCTGAGAAGACAGGGTCATTTTCTGGTATTTTCTAAGTAAAAAAAGTATTTTTGTTCAATATCTGTATTTCAGACCGCTTTTAAATGCACTCACTAATAGTTGCCAGTGAATACCGAACAAGAAAGAAGAACTTTAAGGACAAAATAGCACAACCTATTCTGTTTTCAATTACAACTACTAATGAAAATCCAAAATAAGGAAAATTTTGTTAGACTATGCGCTTCGATACATTTTGTTCGTTTGATTTAAAACATTAGTCTTAACAACATTTTCAATTTAATGCCACGACTGTTTATTTTATCTTTGTAAACCACTGATTTAATCCTTTGACTACCAAAATTACATTTTCTGTGAATTTTTATGATTATCCTAATTTAAGGTAAACATGGATAAATAATAATAATAGAAAGCTTATTTTTAATGAAAAATAATTTGATTTTGAAAAATTTTGATGGTTTCACCAAGTGGGAATTTGGGTAAATTTAATTTATTCAATTATTTTTTGTGATATTTTGGAAAACAATTCTTTTCGTCACTCAAACACAAACCTACTTTGCATATTGTACACTCTCACTTTGTACGGTGTGGTTCAGCTGCGGTGCTGCATACGTCACAACGCAGGGAAGTTAAATATTTCGGTATATGTGCGGCACCTTCGAAACGTACCTCTGACGGAACAACGCGTTTGTAATTCGCTTGTCTGTAAGACCTGTTGAGATAACAATTCGAAATTTTTCAATTTTAGCGGTTTTCTTGCACATCGCATAGAAAGTGCCAGGATATACGGATCCACCAGCGTTTTCTTTTTCTATTTACTTCGTTAACGGATCTCAGCATATCGGATTTGTCGACTTACCCCATATGATTGTTATAATCCCTTACGAGGATTCCATGTTACATCATTCTTAGTTCCATCCTTGGCCCTCCTACTGACAACCGTTGTTTCATCTGGGTGTTGAAGATTAGAAAAAAAATGTATACCTTTCTTGTCCATCCATGTCATGAAAAGGAATCCTCTATTATGCATTCTCCAATCGAAATCTTCTCTTTTCATAACTTTATCATAAAGCAAATCCTTCGGTAAACATTTGGCGATCTTCAAGGATGGTTCTACATGCAACTATTTTATTCAATAGATCATTCACCAAACGAAAAGCAGTAAAAAAAATATCAAAATATACTTTGCACATGTTTTTCTGTAGTATTGAGTTTACCGGTATATACCTGGGAATCAGAAATTTATCCAGATTTATTTGCACATACTCACACTTTGTACTCGGGTTTTCGAGGCTTTCGGGGCATATATTGGCGTAGAGATGAGCGACCCTTTTAATCATGGATTCATCTAGCGACTGATGTTCATCTGAATCATAATAGCAGGTGTGATGGGTTTTCCGCAGTGTGTCAAGGAGAAGAAGGAGGACTTTATATAGTTTTTCATAATCATCTTCACCTTTCTTTGGTTGTTTTTCATTATTATTCGTGAATGCGTGCAAATAGTCATTCGAATCTATTACTTGGTATAATATTCGCTATATGAAAATCCAAAATTTCTTCGTTATTTGAAGTCGGCAACCATTTGATGCCCATGAGGATATTTATACCCAGGAAAGATTTTATTTCTTCATCACTTGTCTTGAATTTGGATGCCATTCAAATTTGTTTGCTCTCTGATATGAGACAAAAGTTCTCAAATGATGACATTGAGAAATTGAGACCAGAATAATTTGTAAATTTTGGAAAGTTGTTGATACTATTGGTTCTAGTCAACTAACATAATCCATGTTGAATGGCAAGATTTTTTTCAAGTTTTACAAGTTGCAACTAATGAAAAATTCTGGTTTACACCATGAAAATCGCCAGTCAAATTCGATGTTTCATAAGCATCATCTGTTTCCGAGTCGGGGTCTACTTCTACTAGATTGAGGAGCAGATGGTAATGACAATAAATAGATTTTATTGAGATTCTGCAATACGTATGCAACTATTATATTAGAAAAAGCACTTACTAGTCATTGCACAAGCGATTCGCCACTATTTTGCAGTGAAATCCACGAAAATCTTCTAATAATAAAAACAAAATCGTTAACAGATCGATAAGTAAACATTTTGAGCGCTGGCTTCTGCTGCCAGTCCATTTATAGGCTAAGTTTAAATTATTATAAATGATTACAATTTGCCCAAAATAAGGTGGTAATTCGTCAAACAAAGGTATCATTTCTTATGGCTAAAAATAATCCATCAATTCTATGAAGTTGTGTTGTAGAACATAATTATTTACTATGCCTGCCCACACGTTTATCTTGAATTCGTGCTGTGTCTTTCTCATATCAAATGGGGATTTTGTAATTTCCACAAATGTCTGTTATCAAAATTAACAATACCTCCAAGGCTAAAAGCAGCCTTGTCAGTAAATATTATTTTGTTAAAAAAACACTAATATTTTGTTGGTTTCGGTCAAAAGGCAACAAATGGTACATCCTCCACGGTGCTCCGTAAGCTTCCAAAGGGTCATAAATGTTATGAAAAATCTAAACACACACCCTATCTGTCATGTCCCGATTTTAAAACCTATTATGCCTGGGAAATAAAAATAAACATAAATAACAAATACCACAAAACTTCAATTGTTTATTGAACAAAAACCGACAAAGCCTACTTCAATTTCATAAAACCTTAACTGAGAATCAAAAGCTACTAATTTTATAAGGTAGAAAACTAACTAAAAAGTTAAATAGCATATCTATTAGTATCTTTTTTTTTTTAAATAAAACTCATCTCATAACAAATGAAATGAATTAATATCTTCCACGAGTAATATTACGCATCGACTAGATTAAAATTCAAATATCTTGAAAACGACTTAAAATACAGATATTCAATCATAATTCGTTTTTTACTTAGTCAATCCCGGAAAATCACCCTGTCTTACAGATGTTAAATTTGAGACAATTAGTAAAAAAGACGATGTGCAGTGTGTGCAGGTGGCGACGTCTACAAGTTATCGCTAAAATGATTGCACTATCTAATGATCTGTGACTGCATTTTAAAAATTAAACAAAATAGTATATTATGCAGCAAGTGTCGTAAACGGCATTTGACTCACGAGTTTAGTTGACACGAGCGAGTTTTTAATAAACGAGTGAGTTAAAAAGTTTACCGAACGTGTTGCATACTATACTTTTTCTACGACCGTTAGTTTTTGGGTAGATTTTCGCAAAACTCGAATACATTCACTGACATGACCGTCAGAATTGACAAACGTCAAAATTTAAACTGTGGGAAATATCTCCGTAAACATCCTATTGCTCCCAAATCAGTGCGGTAAAATCCCGGAAATGTCCAAAGTGGCTAGGATTCATGGGAAACGAAACTGACGTGGTAAAGTGAATTTTCCAGCACGCTAGATCGGTGGTTAGGAATTTTACAGAAGGGAGTAGAAAAACATATTGTTTTAATTTAAAATAGAAAGTGCGGACCTAAATAAGAAAAAAGCTATAGACTTGGCAACATCGCAAATCTCGTATCTGAAATGTAGCAAAATAAAGAATAATAATAACTATGAATAATGGAACTATAAAAATAATAATAATAATAAGAAGGAGAACATATGCAATTTACAGTTTCTTTGAATGAAGAAGTTTATTTTATTTTTGTAAATTAACTTGCTGGTTCCTTAGAAAGTTTTAGATTATATTTTTTTATGATTATTTTGTTGGCGTAAAAGCCTGTAAGACATCATATAGAGAAAAATAAAGATGGAAAGAAAGGAAGAAATTGTAAAATTTCCAGACACTGAACAAATTTCAAGCAGACAGTTTATTACTTCAAAAAACTGGATGTTTACTAGTTTATATTCATATAAAAATTTTGCTGAATTCAAGAAAATAATTGACTACTAGACTTATTTCTGTTACTTTATTTTCTACATTATTTTTAATTCCTATAATATTGCACTTAAAAAACACACGAGGCTGTTCCTCCATCTTTATACATAAAAATTCAAGATTGATGATGATGATGATGACTGACGTAACATAACTAAATAATGCAGATAAACAAATCCATAATAAAGCAGAGTAAAAAAATATTTGGATCTGCTATTTATATTTTTAATACCCCAGTGTGCGTCATTCGTTTCATCCGTCATCATCACCTCTCTGCTGTCAAAACATTTATATGGCACTTTATATGATTCTGTTGCAGGTGCAGATAGCCCAAGCGACAGGGCGAGTAGGCGCAGGCGCAGACGTCGCAGGAGAAGGAGCAGGCGCAGGCGCAGAAGGGGTTCGAGACGGGGCCGCAGACGACAGCTGAGCGCCGAAAATACAGATTCGGCCGAGTCCGTCAGCAAAAGTTCGTCCGACAATTTGAACGGGGAAAAAACCAAACAGGAAACCTCGCAACTAGGTAAACGTAGATTTTGATTTAGAATTTGAATTAGAGAAATTTAATTTTTATACTCTGCAGTAAAGTTACACAACCAATTCTCCATATTTAACATGCTGGGTTAAAAAGTAACAAGTAGGAAACAGATTAATCCAAGGAGTTCTACGTAAACTTAATTTTTTGGTTGCGCCTAGGTTTCTAGCAACCCGTAAACGCTTATTTAAAGATAAATATATAAATACTAACTCTCTATAAGTTTGTTGCTTGTATTGTCAGCTTTTCTATTTAAAAAACGGTAAAAATACATTTCCTTTCCAAAATATTTTTCAGTTTTTAGTTACAGAAGGATGTATATATTTTTTTTACATACATTTTTTTTACTAATTAGACTATCTACAATAGATCCATGTAGGTTTTGTTATAGCGACCCGTTGTACGCCGTTCTCGCGGGATCCTGGTATATTTTATTAAATATTAATAAACTGCTATGTTACAATCAGGATGGCAGTTTTTGTTTCCTGCTGTCCCATTCCAAGAGCCCGATTTTCTTTCACAGAATTTAAGTCAGCGCCGGTTAGCCGCACGGAAAGCCGTCACAACCTTCTGTGCGATCAGCATCAGAATAATAGTACGGAGGAGGCGCTGGAGTGCGGCAATCCCGAATGCCTGTGCGGTATTAACGCAGAGTCCACCCAGAGACACACGCCACAAGACAACTATCACAATTCGTATCTCAATTGAATGAACCCTGTATAATATAACGTCACATCCACGAATTGAGCAAACCTCCTCGTATACATCCACCATAACTTTTTTTTTTAATTTATCACGACCGTTGTTAAAATTGTCTACAATATACCGAATATTTATTTTGTTATATGGTTTTATTAAATAGTGAATAAAAATGGATAAAAAATAAAATCAACACTGAAAAAACATGCAAATAATGTCCGCGAACCACGGGGTTTCGATGTTTTCAATCAACGATTAGTAGTATGCTGTCACATTCGCCGAATTCTGAGCTATCCAATCCAAATAGGAGGTTACCCTAGCGAATACGGGTGGCCAGCCTACTTCACAGCCGTACGTAATGCCAAAAGACACCACGCCTATCTGAAAAAAAAACCTATTCAAATTCCACATAGAACCTAAAGATAATATGTTTTCTTAATTTTATGTTATATGCTTTTTTCCATCTCCTCTAGTTTTTGGTTGACTACTGCCTATTTATTTATTAATTATTCGATATAAACATCAATAACGTATTTCTTATATTATTCATATTTTAGCAATGATCCCTAACCTAAGCGTATACAGAGATTGTTGTGTTGCATTTGAAGCTCGTTCAATGACATTATTTGCGGAAGGATTCCATTTTTAGCTTGCTCTTTTTCGAATTGAAAAAAAGTCAAGATATTCAAAACTGTTAGCTGTGATTGCTGATTATATCTTAGCGGTCTTTTGGAAAAGTTTATAAAGTCACAACAAATTATGTCAGTTTTGACGGTATATATTTTGAAAGATATATAACCGAAACCGGAATTGTCTATTATAAACAAACGACAATGATTTTTTTCAATTTTCAGCTTATCGCATCTATATACAGAGTGTTTTACAACTCCTCGGACAACAGGCAAGAAGAAAGAAAACTCTCATATTATTTTATTATATATATATTATATTATTAATGGGGGATCAAATGTTTAGCATTGAACATTTTTATCTAATCTAACGTAAAAAACAATATTAAGCAGATTACGCACTCTTATCGTATCTCTTACGGTTTAATTAAGGTAGCTGCAGCAATTATAATTATCATTACTCTGGTGAATTATTGAGAAACTCGGGGGATATCTCCAGGTGAAATAATTGAAAAGTTTAAAATAGACAAAGTACCCCTTATTATTTGTAGCATATATTACTGGAATATCTTTTGAGCCCAATTAATATTAAATATACAGTATGTCCACGGATGGAGTACACAAGAGGACAAATAGGCTAAAAAGTGAAAGTTACGAAAAAAAGTAATTCTTTATAACAGATTTTGCTTGCTTTAAAAATAATAATCGCAATCCCTGAGGTTGCCCCAAACTGCAGACGAAGCCCAAAGCTAAGCGAAGATTGTAATATTGTAAAATTGCTCTTAATTCTTTCAGCCTTTGTATCGACTAGTCCGAATAAAACTTTATTCTGCTTTCTGTGTAAATAAATGTTTTAAAAACGCTCTCCCGTATTTTGAACATTTAAGTTTTTTTTATACAGGGTACGAAAAAACATAAAGATATGTAAAAAATAAATAGTACTTTTTTTGTCGATCGGCATTGCTTTTCAAAATAACAACATAAGATGAGGGTTATTTGAGAATTTTCCGATCTAACAATGAGACACTTTTTTCTCTTTTTTTATTTTTTTTTGCACAGACTCCTTGTAACTTTATACACTTTTCTCAGCGGTGCTCCCATCTCTCTAACTCGTTCAAATAATACCCAGCGTTTTTCTCCGCAAAATAATTGTTGTGTCATGTAATTGCCTCTTCAGTTCACAAAAATATTTGTCCTCCGAGCGCAGTTTTCAGATGAGGGAACAAAAAGAAGTCGCATGGGGTTAGATCTGATGGGTGAGGGGGACGGTTAAGTAGTTTAAACCGCAAATTCGTGGCTTTTCATCATGGCAAGCTCCGCGGTATAAGTATGTCTTGATGAAACAGTTTTTTTTGCAAATGTGGTGGTTCGCTTGTCAAATAATGATGCGTAGTCTGCTCCCGTAATGGTTTTTGATTTTTGAAGGTAATCGATTAGGATTAAGATTACTTTCCCAGCCGAAAAAACAGTTTCTGCTATTTTTCCGGAGTCGGTTACCCCTTCACGCATCGACACATTCAAACGCCTCTCAGCTAAAAACCACGATTCCAAAATAGCTGAAACTTTGGTACGCAACTACGAGCACTTAGCTTATAGCAACTAGTGCAGCCATCTTTAGGGTGATGTCAGAAACTTTTCAATGGGCCGTCGTAATGTTCTCAGGCAGGTCAACTTTTATTACAAACGGGACTGTGAATTCTCAGCAAGTGAGATAGTGAAAATCGAGAAATGCATACAAACGTCAATACAAAAAATAAATAAAAAAAGTAAATTTTCTACAATGAAACATATTTATCAGATAATTTGGAAGACTTGCCTTTTCAGTATAGCCGAAATATATATTTTCAGTATGACGGGGGTCTCAATGGCTCGATGCGGCTATGGTCCAATTTAATGGCCGCCTAAGAACACCGATTTGACAATTTGCAATCAAAGACCCATTGAAATTGACCAAGAAGTTTTGAAGCAATAGAATCTATCTATGGTGGAGATCGGAGACCGCACTGATTACAGAGGAATAACTATACTACGTATGGTGGTGCAAATGTTCGCACAAATACTAAAAAACAAACTCAGGGGAGACATAGACAATATTGGCAATCTCTCAATGTGGATTTAGAGAAAGAAGAAGCATCCAAGACCATATACTTACGGTTAAGTCAATTATCGACATTGAAACAATAAAAAAGCATGTTCTTGATGGATAGGAAAAAAGCATTTCGCAAGGGAAGAAATTGAAGTAATAAATAAATAAATACAAAGGAACAAACAATTGTGTAATAAGAAACAATACGAAATCAGACGCGTTTAAGACAAAAAATGGAATAAGACAAAGTGGAGGCCCATAGTCTACTGATCATCAGAAGAAGTAGCAAACAATCAAAACCGTTGTGCATAGTCACAGAAATTTACAACCAGTGTTGATAGATAGATAGACATGGTGATGGCGGAGAGAATTTTGAGGAGAATCCGGAAATATGTAACGAGAAAATGATAAAGAAGGGGCATGAAACTAAATATGGCTAAGAGAAAGGTAAATGGTAGATAGATGATCATGATAATAGAACTGGAACAGTATTTGCAGGATTTAAAAAAATACATACCTATACTTACATATGGGTGCCAACCCTGGTACCTGGTACCTAAAAAGAGTGAGGGGAGTGACAAGAAGAGACAGAATAAGCCAATTGAAACCACAATCACGGCAAGATTTCATTGAAGAATGTCAATTGTCAAGTTGGTGGGGACATTTACAAAGGATGAATAATGACGTTCCGGTCAGGAGGGTGTGGGAAGCTAGAGCACAAGGAAAGATAAGTAAAGGAAGACCAAAAGCAACTAGGGACAATGCAGTCGAATTATCAAATTTCATAAAGGCCCGGTGTTGCCGAAACAGCTGTCATAAAGCATTAAAAACTGTGAACATCTGAACCTTTTTTGTTCTAATTTAATTTGTGTTATATTAAATAAGCAGTGCCAATATTTTGTATTTAAGCTGTAAAAAGACCAATTTTATAATTAGCAAATTATATAATTTGTATTTTATATTGCCGAAACTAGAGGCACACCTCAAACTCAATGCAACCTCACCTGAACTCCGTTGACGACCAGTGGTCCTCCCGAATCGCCATTACAAGTACCCCTGCCGTATGCCCCTGAGATGCAAATATGTGACGGGTCGATCATGCCCAAATAGGCAAGGTTGCACGCGTGTTGACTGATGACGAACGACGAAACTTCTCGCAAAACTGGTGAAATGGTTCCTACAGTGTCGGCGGGTCGACCCCAACCACTTACGAGGGTGGTGTTGCCTAAATAATCGTGACTGTCGTCTCGTGGCAGCAATACCGTATTTATGCGGTCTAAAAAAATACAATAATTTTAAATTGCACCCTGTACTGTTTTCATGTATATTTTGATACCCATGTACAGAGTTTATTAAAGAGAATAGGTAAAAACTTCTCATATAAAAGTTGCATGTTTTCTTCTCTATTTTTTTTTGAACGGACCAACAAAAACAAATGGGCAAATGTAAAAAAATCAGCAACTTCGTGTTTTCTTTAATTGAACACCCATAATATGGATAAGTAGTCAAAGAAGATACTTCAGACGAAAGGTCGTTTTCTGGGTATTTGGTTCAACCATTTCTGAAATAACTTCAGGCAAGAAAATCTCGGAGGGATTCTTGACCAAATGAAAGTGTCATCAACGTAGGGTAACCACAATTTGGGTTGGGTTTGGAGGAAAGGTGTCGAGGACTTTCTTCTCAAAAGCTTCCATAAATATATTTGCCATGGCTGACGATAATGGAGAACCCATTGCTGTTCGTGATATTTGTTTATAAATTTGACCGTTACAAGAAAAATATGTTCTAGACAAGCATTTTTCAGTTTAAATGTGAAGGTTTGGTTCCAGATTCTCGCATTTTAACTTTTCCGAAATAATATTGTTTGAGTTTTGGTTAATTTTGGTTTGGTTTGATTATTGTCGAAACTAACCAGAATATATATATATATATATATATATATATATATATATATATATATATATATATATATATATATATATATATATATATATATATATATATATATATATATATATATATATATATATATATATATATATATATATATATATATATATATGAAGTGAAGTAAGAATAGATCAGTTTTCTTTATAATCCTGATTTGTATCTGCTTTTAGAATTACTATGCGTTTATGGTTTGGAATATTAGATTTAGGAGGTTTCAAATCGAATTTTAGCTGAATTTAGCTGTTTGAGATGATTGGCTGATGTTTTTTTATTAATTCCCTTAAAATGTTGTAGAGTCGTATTCCTTTTCCAAAATGTAAGAAAAAGAGCAAATTCTGCTTTGAAATGCTGAAAAAATAATCAGTTGATTCGAAACGAACATGCAACGAAAATAATTTAGGTCAATATGAATTTCAAAATATACAGGGTGTCCAAGCTGGGGATAATGGAAACCATAAGAGATATGGTTAAATTAGAAAATACACCCATTGATGTTATTTAAAGGGATATAAAAAGATAAAGGTCACTGTCGTCTTGCCACTAACCAAAACTGACAAAAATCCTTTTTTGTGATTTAAAAAATGTAGAATCATATTGTGTTGTAATCAAAAATATAGTAGAAAAAATATATATACACGGTGACGAGCGTACCTCCGAAAGTAACTTTTTTAATCTTTTCAAGACAAAGTTGAAAGACTTATAAGACTTATTTAGATCAGCGCGAGGGGTTTAAAAGGACAGTTTTACATTTGCACGTTTTACAAAGCAATTTTAATTTAATCCATGTCAGCGAGTGAAATTCATTTTCCAATAATGTCCTTTTAAAGTGTAATGTAAAAGTCGGAATTTTGTAGAAGGTGAAACATAATTAAAAGCAAAGTATGTATTTTAATTGGGTTTACTGCACGATCCGATTGCTTAAAGCACAAATTTTTACAACAACAATTATTATCAGGGTTATTGTTGCTCAATATTTCTTGAGCGACATCAATTAATAATGAAATTTTTTAAAATAATATAACACAATATAAAAAATGAAAACATGCATCAATTTTATTTGCAACCTATAGTAATATTTGTTTCCCTCAGAGATCTCATTAATAATAATAATAACGTTTATTTCATCAAATACATGGAAACACAAAGTATACATTTTTATCTTCTAATTAAGATTAATGGAAATCACTGAAGCGCATATAGAGTGCTTGTGCGTGATAAAAGCGTGAAAAGAGTTTCAGTTTTAGTCGTAGACGAGTTTACGTCATATTCAGGAATTGCTAAACAATAATAAAATAATAATATATAATAAATAATATAATGTTATTTTTGGCATTTAAGATCAATTGAGGCACTAAAAACTTGTCGGCCTCTTTATAAAATCCAATCTTTAGTTTCAGTTTTTTGTTTCCTGTGTACCTCTCGACAGCATGTTATATAATCTGAACGAATAGAACTTCAGACTTCATTGACCATGTGTTTATTTCTTAAAATTTCATGGCAGTACAATTGTCTCATATCCAAAAATTTGCTATTAAATTGTAAAATCGCCAATACTCACCACTTAATTCTACAGGAGAAGGCAGCCTTACGATAGCGATGTCGTTCATCAAAGTTGAACGTGTCCAGTTGGGATGCAACACGATGTCGCCGGTAGATATGTGTGTTGTGTTTGCAGGGTTTGAAGGAAGAGAATGGGCTCCCAGAACTATCGTCAAATTCAATGAGCTAGAGGAATGTTTGGAAATATTTAAGGCATCAAGTTAACAGAATTCATTTTAAATTCATTTCTTCCAATTACGAAATAAAACGGATTCCTTTTATATTTGTAAATGGAATAATAAAAAATAATGCGAGCTTGGTTATTGTTATTATATACTGGTGATAAAATTTTAATAGTTTGTATTTAAAGGTACTCCTACTAAAAGTAAAAAAAAAGTGCTGCAGCATTCATAAATTATTATTAAGTAATTTTCACGACGTAAAGTAAAGTAATATTTATTTCAGCATTTAAATAATGCATTTAAAAACATATCAAATGCACAACGAACTTGAGAAATTTGTGCTTGAATTTGTTCACCCTAATGCAATTTAACTTCCCTGTTATGGCAATGTTCGTATTAATTTTAAAATTAAATTAAATTACATTATTATTAAATTTATAACCCACTTGATTTTATTCACAGTTAATTTATCACTTCCAGAATGTCAGGGTCAACACTTAACAACCACAAGTTAACAGACCTCTTAATTTTTGTATATTCTCTGTATTCGAAATGCATTTATTGGATTGACATTGTATAATTTTCTTCTCCGCACTTAAGTAAATTTTATAATTGGCCTGAATTGATACAAATTTCGTTTGTACTAAAAGGTTTCTTTACGAATTTGTATTTGTATTTGTATTGTTTGTTTTTGAGTAGTTTTAATACACGTTCCTGGGTAATTGCTAGCTCTTGATTCTACCAAAGATTTATTTATTCTAATAAGGGAAGTTTTTGATAAACTTTGCATTTACAATTTGTATTATAGCTCGAGCAGTCAAAATTATGAATCTTTATTCTTTGCAAGTCTGGACTCGCTTACGTCATGGAAAAAGTACTGAATATTTTTCAGCGATTTTATTATTTGTATTAATTCTTTTTCTAGTATTGACAACAAAAATATATCAAAATCACTTTTTTACTGTTTAAAACGTATTTTTTTTTTGGTCTTTTGACCCCAGCTAGCGTTCCTCCCACATTTCAAAAATATTTATTGAACTCCTCGACTATGTCCTTGGGTGATGATTGTCCCAGCTACAACATCGGAAATTTCCAGATTATCCGTGAAATCATTAGTGGCATGTTTAATAATTCTCCTGGTTTGTCTGGCTTCACTACAATATTTGTCAAAAAGTTTTTAAAAACACAATGCTCTTGCCCGGCTTAACAAAGTTAGAAGCAATTTACGGCAAGTTGCTTAGCTTTTATATCACTCGGATTTACAGTATATGGTTTCTTTGACATATAGATGTTAGATTAGATAGATTAGTTATCCATGGCC